ATATGAGGCAAATGATAAACGTATTAACCCTTTTTATTGAAAAATTCGATAAATATGGAAGGTTACATGCATCAAAATTATTAGCCCGAAATTTATTATGTTATGTTAATTAATTAATCAATTAATATTTTTTAATAAATCGTTTACGTCTACTTTTCCACACGTAATAATAATTTTTTAAAAAAAAAGACCTAAAATCATGAAAATTTTTATGATCCTCATCTTCTGTTCGTGATTATGTCATTTAACTTTTTAACACCTTTCGGTGTACCACTCGAGAAAACAAAAGTCGGACTTGCTCTTTCTTCAAACAGTACTGTCGTTTACATTCAGTCTCCAGGTAGTTATTGTCCAGGAGGATACTGCAGCAAATATACTTATGCATATTGCTGTCCAACTTATTGCTGCCCACTCATAAATGGGTACAGCAGTTATTGCTGTGTGAAGGGTTGTTGCTATCGTAAAAATCATTGATAGTTTTTATTATATGTATGTTTTACTTTGATTTTTATTATTTATTAAATATTTGTTTTTATGATGTATTTTATAAATAATTTAGTGCAATTCCTAATGTTTTGGTGTAGAAAAAGGTTAAATGTGACTTTACAAAAAAATATTTTCAGAATGTTGTTTTCCGTATGTTTTCTGTTTATTATTACTATTACATGCTAATTAATACTAACACAGAAAATATAGTATTTTTCCGTCAAGGAATATTAACTTATTATGCACTCTTTATTATTAGCATTAATATTAATTAGTATGTTTTATGAACGTTTTCCATATCAATATGTTTCAGTATAAAACATACCGAAAATTAACTGTTTTCCATACGTTTTCAGTTAGTAATGTCAGCTGGTAGAAAAACCTTGGCCAGCTAAGAGCTTGATATTCACTAAAAATAATAGTTATAAAATTTAACAAAAAATCTAAATAAAATAACTCAATGTAATCTAGTATTATCCAAAATATTGTATTAAGAAACCCTTTATATCACTGTCAAATTATCATTATTTAATAATACATTCAAAATTCCTTTCATGATCAAAAGGTTCGCCACAGTTATTATTACCTAATGGTTTACTATTATTGCTATCACTGTTATTATTGTTGTTGTTGTTGTTATTACTACTGCTATTATTACCGTTATATTACTATTATTATCTTTATTTTGCTATGAATATTGTGGTTTTTTTGGTGGTAGATTTTTTTCTTTTTGTCATTCAAAGTAATAATGAAATGAGTCAAGAGAATATATTTTTTTTATCATAAAAAAATTTATCAGTCGCTAAGCTGAATGTTTTCTTAACCGGCTGACATCAGTAATTAGTACCATTGTGTGCTCAAAGATATATATTATATATATCTAATAACATTTTTTTTCATTCACCATCCATATCAATTGAAATGTCCAAAACGAAAGAACGACGTGTAATGGTACCTGGGAATTGAAGATGAAGCAGTTAAAAAGAATGAATAATAGGTATAGTTCACTCTTTTATAACGGGCTGGGGATTTAAGCCCAATTAATATTAATATTAATATATAAATATAACGGATTCTCTATACAGTTCGCTCTCTCTATAACAGACTTTGCTCTGTAACAAACTGAGAATCTAAACCCAAATTTATATGTCCATATTAATGTATAAATTATTATTGTCTATAACTGACTTTTCCCCTAATAAAACATTTAGATGGAATTTTAAAAGTTCTAGAATGAATTACTTTGGACTGGATTTGGCTCTTCGTGAGAAGCAAAATTTTGGAAAGCATGGTTGGAAGTAAACGCATGTCTGAACATGTGAAAGAGCCTGTTTTTTTTTTGTCAGGAAATGTAGATAAGAAGAATAGATTCACAGCTGAAATAATTCTAGAACAAAGAGAAGCAGATGAGTTGGATGCAAATGAGTTACCAAAAAATAAAACTATTGAAAATTGGATAACACGTTTTAGTAGAAAACTTAAAAAAGAACCAGCCGAGAAAGAATTCCCATAAAAGATTTCTTTATAAAATATTTTATTTTATATTGTTTATTAAATATGTATATTTATATTCTATATAAATTACTTTTTTATATGAATGAATGAATGAATGAATGAATGAATGTATGAATGAATGTATTCTATGTATTTATTTAAATAATATACAAAATTATTTATAAATGAATGATTGAAGGATTGAAATAAATGAATTTTAATGAAATAAATAAAAATGAAAAAAGAAATCATTAATCATTGAATGTTTCTTAATTTTTTTACAGTATCAACAACCTCTTTAATCATTTTTAAACTTCTTTTATCACCTAATAAAGCGGTATGGAAGGCGTTCATACAATAAGCAAAACTAATTTTCAGTTCTTCATTCCATAAAAACATGCTTCCGCCTGATCCACCCCATCCAACTAATTCAACATCTTCTAATCCTTCCAATTTAAAATATCCAAATCCACCAATTGATGTTGGGAAGGCTTCTTGCAATACGTTGTCAAATTCTGGTGCTAATTTTTTTGTTATAAGTTTAAAAGTTTCTGATGACATTAAATCAGGTTCTTTTAATAAAAATTTACTTTTATTATTGTTTTTGATTGGTAACGATTTACCACCGTTTGCCATCATAGCACCTAATTTTGCCATTGATCTGGAATTGGTGATTCCATTATAACTTGGGCCTTCGGGTTTCAACATTTCCAAATTATTCCATTCTTGTGGTTGAGATTTATCAGGTGAAGTCATGACCAACGTTTTAAAAGCAGTACTATCACTGTTCATCATTTCATTAAATATCTTGTGTAAAGGTTCCTTTATCATCCATTGAGGTAACAATATTTTACTAAAAAGACGTAATAATGGGTAGGTGTAGATATTGGAGACTCTTGTTTCGTAAACAGATTTCAATTTATCATTATCATCATTGTTATTAATGTCAAATATGGAATAATAAAATTCTAAATTATAAACAGGCATTATCTCTTCTTTAACTATACGTCCAATTGTACGATGTCTTGGATCTACTCGACGAACTATTTCATTTAAATACCATCCACGACTAACACCATGATAAGCTTTGGTTGGTTTACCATCGAAATTGTGAGGTTGGTTGGCCAAAATTTCAGATAATTTATCAAGATCATGTAAATCTCTATTACTGATTTGATGTGAATCAATATATCCTACGCCAGCTTTATGTGTTATCAATTCTAGTAATGTCACATTCTCTTTATTATTTTGTGCAAATCCTGGCCAATATTTGGAAACCTTTTCATTATAATCTAATAATCCTTGTTCTACAAGTCTAGAAATTACAATTCCAGTCTGTTTAGCAAGAAGAAAAAAGAAAAAAGAAAATAAATTATTAGTATTAGAATTAATGAATGTATAAATATAATCAATAAAAAGTTATTTTGCTTTATATTTACCAAAACTTTGGTACTGGAGAATACTAGTTGTAAAGTATCTTCATTATAAGTACGTCCAGTACTTAAATCTGCAAACCCGCCTTGTAAATCAACTACGACTTCGTTATCATAATAAACAGTAACTTGTGCACCAATATCATCACCGTTAATAAAATTTTGTTTAAAGACTTCTTTGACACCATTAAATTCTTGTTTAACAAATCCATTAATGTTTGGATTAATAGGACATTTTGATCCAAACAATTGGCATGATAATGGTAAAAATGGTCCAGAATTTGCATATCTTAGAATCAAAATTGTAAAAATTGTCAATGTGTATAAACTAAATCGATGCATTACTGTTAAACGACTTATGTTTGTAGTAGAGTGATTTGTAGGTTTTTTGCTGATCGTCATATTTTATTATTATTGTGATGATGATGTAATAGAGTGGGAGGGTGGTTGTAAATTTTTTTCTTAAAAAAAAAAAATATTACCTTATTTGGTGTGTATTAAATGGGAGTAAATGATGAGCAATAATAATAATATAACAATGAAGAATATTTTTTTTTCTAAATATAATAATAAAAGAAGGTTTAAAATAATAGAAAAAAAAATTATTATGATTATTCTTCAAAAAATTCAAAAAACTCTTCCTTTTTATCATGAAAAAAATATTTATGTGAGTAATTATTTAACCGATTACATTATTTTGTTAATACGCGTTTCCCAAGTCTTGTTCTCTTGGGTCTTTGTATGATATTTATTGTAGTACATTTCATTCAACTAAAAAGGGTCACATAAAGAAAATTAATTTACTTATTTGTCGTACAGCAGAAATAAAGAATTTTTTTTTTTCGTTGTTGAGAGCATCGGAAAATTAATTACCATCTATTTCTTTATTTAAAGATTCAATCGTGAAGAAACAATTCATGTAAATATTAGAACACGCACGAATGAATAAATTTTATAATTTCTTGTGTGTATTGTGATTTTTTTAGTGTTCCCAATGCCATGATTACTTTATTACTATATATAATAATAATAATAAAATATTAGTTTTGCAGTGTAACTTCGCATACAAATAAAAAACACTCTAGTTAATTTTAATGTTAGCAAATCAATCAGCGAGCGAGTACAAGATGAAGTGTATGGCGCAGCAATTCTTTTGTAATTAATAAGTGAATTACAGACAGTCAAAGCTCTCTATAACGAACTTCCGAAACCCGAATTGTTCTCTATAATGAACTAAGGTGTTGGTCCCGAATTTTTTGTTAATTAATTTTGCTTTGTATAACTAACTTTATTAAATTCTCTAAAATGACAAATTTACATATAAAATGGCGCTCTCTATACTTAATGTAACACAAAGAAAATTTATTACATAATTATTGACAAAAAATTTTTTCCAATAAAAAAATTTTATTCTTTAACGAAAACAAAATTAATATTAACATTATACAAGCGATAAGAATACAATTGTTTATTAATTGATTGTTTACACATTATGCCTCTTTTGTTAAATCATCAATGAAAATAAAGAAAATAAATTTATTAAATATATAAAATATCCGTATGCATTATTTTTTTTTAAAAAAAGATATTTTGAAATTCAACTAAAAGAAGAACTACTTTGACAATTTTACAAAGAAAGAGTTATGAAGAAAAATCAAAAATATTGAATTTAATTCAAAAGAGCAGTAAAAAATTGAGAATAAAACTTCATAAAGATTATTTTTATTTTTTTAAAAATTACTATTGTTATTTTGTAAACGCAAAACTTTAACCTTGTAATCAATAATAATAATAATAATAATAATAATAATAATAATAATAATAAATTTACGAATTGCAATTTTCATAATTATATTACGATCACATGAATATAAATGTGATGATTGATCGACACTTTCTTTATAGCGAACGCTCTCTATAATAATAATTCTCGGGAGCTTTGACTGTGGTTCGTAACGATTAATTTCATATTTAATGATTTGAATTTTATAATATTAAAAAACAATATATAGTTATAAATACAGAAATAAATAATTATTAAGATCTATTATAGTAATGATGGCCACTTTTTTTCAAAAATAGTTTCAGTCACCACCGCTATGATCATTATTTGGAAAAAAAGATTAAGTTTATGCATCGATTTTACTAATCTTTTAAAAGTTCTATATTAATAACAATAACAAGTTAATACTTATAAATGAAATAATTTTTAAATTAATGCTAATTCTAACCTGGGACCGGTGTGTAAATTTCGTTGTGTAACTAATGCAGATTTCTACAAATTTAGAAATCATCTGCAGAAAATTACTAATTATAATAATAATGTGTAATGTGATACCCGCCCGTTCCGCCCTCTCAATTTTACTCACTGCCTGGGACATCTTTAAAATCATCAATTGAACAATCTAGAAATTTTTGGATTGGTGGTGAGATTTTTATATCATCTTTATATATTGAATTCTTAATTTCCTAATTATAGAATGTCAGCATATTATGATGCAATGCAATAATAATTATGGTAATGATAAAAAAACATTTACTTTTTTATAATATTTCCATTGCCTGAAGCACATTAAATGAATGCAAACAATCAACCCTAGTGATATATTGTAGCAATAATGAATAAGTTAATTAACTTAAACAATTTTATTAAACATTCTAAAAAAAAATAAAATAAATATTCATCTTTTATATGTCTTAAATAAAACAACATGACTTAGCTATTTAATCATTTCCTTGTATGTGAATGGCATCCATTAAATATTCATTGATAGTCATGATTATTATTCAATATGTTTGATGTTATCATTGACATAACAAACAATTGCATCACCCAAGTAGTAATAACACCAAGGCCATGCAAAATGAAACCTTTAATAAATGCATGTCTACCCAGATCTCTGGAATTTACAAAATAATTATTCTTCCTGATTATCAATTATGGTTCCTTATGAATAATAAATCTGATGTTGATCACAGGTGTCAGATTTAATTAAAGTTTCCTATCACAAACATGCATTAAGGTGCTTTCACACGCCTCATATCTAAGGATTTTTCTTCCACAGGTGAGGCCACGTACATGTTGGAAGGCTTTGGACAAAACTTCCCCTCAGACCAGGCTTGGCTGCTACATATATGGGCATTGATCACTGATAGCTGGTGCTTGTGTGATGATTGCTTTGTGTATTATTGCCACACTAGCATAAAAGTTGGCACCTGCAAATGGTTGAAAATTCAGCAACTCGGGAGATTGCAACCTGAGTTATTGTTTTGGATTTTCCCTGAATTCCAAGTTTTGAGTCCTGGTTTGCTGTCTTGTTAGTGGCACGCCTGCTCACCAACAACCCTACTCATGTTTAAACAACAAATTCAGTTGGTCAAACAAAAATTTGAGAAATAGAAAATTTATGAATCAATTTATGCATAACATACCAAACAAAATCTCAACCATTTTATTTTACAGCTTTCCTCTTAACATCAGGGTCCAAATGCAATTTCAGAGGCCACAAACCCTGCTCTGAATTGTAACCTCCTGAGCTTGAAACAAGCTGCAGATTCTCTTAATATTCATCAGCAGAGTTGTGACTTGGTTACAGAGCCATCCTTACCTAGAGGTAGGATCGTTGCAAGTAACTTTTCAGCTAGCATTCCAGCAGCCATCTCTGGTCTGGGGAGATTAGTAGAAGTGTCATTTACAATGATGCAGTCTCGGTAAACTCCAGAGCCACGTACCCCCCTGGAGTTCTGTTGCATCGTTGTATCTCAGGGCAAGCTAGTCAGATTAGCCTTATGTACATGAGGAAGATGTGATAATGACTGTAAAGTGTTTGAGGCAGCGTGCGTGCTTCAACGCCTGCCAATTTCCGAATAACCAAATGTTGCATATCAAATGTTTTTTCTGCAACAGTCAATGCTGCCTTGATATCTTGTAATTATATATTAATATTAATATTAGTAACAATTATGCAAAGTGAAATACCAATCGTTTGTTCACCATCTTATAATTACCCAGCAAGATCTGCTCCGCATTTTGATTTCCAATTAAAAATAAAAATATTGCTTTCTCTTTCAGAATCACTTGAAAGCTCAATTTCATTTCAATCAATACAAAAAATAGTACCTCTGGTTAGTTATTAACACGTTTTCTTTAGGAGAACCAAGCCAAACCAAACAACAACACTCACGTTTTGTCACCTTGGACTTTGTCAAAAAATAAATTGTTTTTCCAAGAAAAAAAAAATCAATTCGCGTCTGTCCTACCAAAAAAAAACCAATAGGATAAATAATTGGTGTGCGCGCATCAATTGTATCATAAACTTTATTTACTTTTTTTAAAAATTTTAAAAATTTCAAAATGCACTCAATCAAGAATAAAAAAAGAAACAAAACAGACAATCGTGAGGAATATTTTGGGTAAGTGTTTTAAGGATGGTGGTGGTGGTTATCGCCATCACTTGCCATCACTCTAGTTATTATTAACATTAAGTTAAGTTTGGATGGAAGGTCTGTGTGCATTTCATTATGAAAAACCTTGTCAATCTTGACTAAAGA